GTAGACTGACGCTGACCACCTCCGAATCCAATTTCCTGGGGAAAACCCTGCAGCCTTGCTGAAAATGTTGAGAATCTGCTGGGTTCAGTGAGTGAAAGGCATTTATAGCTTCACCTATCGTAAAAACAGACGCCCCCTTGACCGAGCTGCGCCCCTCCATCATGCCCAGAGCTTATTTCAGTGAATACAGCCAGTGAGCTGCAGGGTGACAGTGACCCATTCACCGCCTGTAACTGGACACCAGACAAGAGGGACGACTTCTAAAGTGACTTCACTCGTCCACAACAACCACTCTTTTGTGCGTCTCTTTCCTCTCGTGACGATGACGTAGTGGACCTCTCCTCCTCCCCCAGTCTGACACCGGGGGGATCACATGTTGCTCTGTTCACACCACATCTACAAGCTGATTTTATCCCCCACTTGTGACTCAGACCTCATGCTCTCTATCAGTGTAAACATCACAACACTACACGGAGTCACAGCCTGCTACACAACCTACACAACAACAGATGATTCAACCTTGACATCATTTGATGGAAATGCCAAATTTATATATATATATGTGTGTGTGTGTGTGTGTGTGTGTGAAAATCCCAGATTGGAATTTGACTTGCTGTCCCAGATCAGAATCCTGGAATTACTGCTAAACATGCAGGATTCGACACAAATAAATAAATACATTTTATTTACAAATTATAGGATTTCATGTGATAATACAGGATATGAAAACTCCAGTGTTTCTAGATGGTGTTAATATTACAACACACATGTATGCAGCGATGAGAAATGGAAAAATTAGAACACTTTTTAAAGAACAGGAACTTTAAATCAAACAAACCTTCATATTGATCATGTTTTAATGTCACTGCCTTGTAAGTCTTGAAAAAAAAACTTGTATTAAAAGACTAATAGTTGTTTTGAATCTTGTATTTGAATCAATATCTCATTAGATAATAACACTAATAATAAGATTCTAGTGTAGGCCAGCAAGTCGAATTCCAATATGGGCCAGGTTGGTGTCAAGATTCAAATCTGGGCCAGACAGGATCAGAATCCATCCATCCATCATCTATACACCGCTTAATCCTCACGGGGGGCTGGAGTCTATCCCAGCTGACTCAGGGTGAAGGCAGGTTCACCTGGACAGGTAACCAGTCTATCACAGGGCTACACTTAGAGACAGACAAACAAGCACACTCAGATTCACACCTACGGACAATTTACAATCACCAATTAACCTCAGTATGTTTCTGGACTGTGGGAGGAAGCCGGAGAACCCGGAGAGAACCCACGCTGCACGGGGAGAACATGGAGACTCCACG